CACCACGTACGGGCGCCGGCTCGGGCGTCCGGCCCAAAGCCGCTCCAGAATCGGCCCAGGACGGCTTCCCGGGCGCCGCAAGCAGAAATTCAGCATTTTCGAAAGAAAAATGTGTATTGGAATGGCCTCTTTTCGGCGCGATCGGAACTGCCCGGGCGTCCGGCCCGGGAGCCGGGCCGGGTGCCGGCCGGGCCGGGTGCCGGCCCGAGCTCCGGAATCGGCCCGGACGGCCTCCCGGGCGCCGGAAGCAGAAATTCAGCATTTTCGAAAGAAAAATGTGTATTGGAATGGCCTTTTTTCGGCGCCGCCTCGGAACTCGATTTTCCGGCGCCCGGGCGCCGGCTCGGGCGCCGACCCGGGCGTCCGGCCCGGGAGCCGGGCCGGGTGCCGGCCCGAGCTCCGGAATCGGCCCGGACGGCTTCCCGGGCGCCGGAAGCAGAAATTCAGCATTTTCGAAAGAAAAATGTGTATTGGAATGGCGTTTTTTCGGCGCCGCCTCGGAACTCGATTTTCCGGCGCCCGGGCGCCGGCTCGGGCGCCGACCCAGGCGTCCGGCCCGGGAGCCGGGCCGGGTGCCGGCCCGAGCTCCGGAATCGGCCCGGACGGCTTCCCGGGCGCCGGAAACAGAAATTCAGCATTTTCAAAAGAAATGTGTATTGGAATGGCCTTTTTTCGGCGCCGCCTCGGAACTCGATTTTCTGGCGCCCGGGCGCCGGTTCGGGCGCCGACCCGGGCGTCCGTCCCGGGAGCCGGGCCGGGTGCCGGCCCAGGCTCCGGAATCGGCCCGGACGGCTTCCCGGACGCCGGAAGCAGAAATTCAGCATTTTCGAAAGAAAACATGTATTGAAATGGCGTTTTTTCGGCGCCGCCTCGAAACTCGATTTTCTGGCGCCCGGGCGCCGGCTCGGGCGCCGACCCGGGCGTCCGGCCCGGGAGCCGGGCCGGGTGCCGGCCCGAGCTCCGGAATCGGCCCGGACGGCCTCCCTCCCGGGCGCCGGAAGCAGAAATTCAGCATTTTCGAAAGAAAAATGTGTATTGGAATGGCCTTTTTTCGGCGCCGCCTCGGAACTCGATTTTCCGGCGCCCGGGCGCCGGCTCGGGCGCCGACCCGGGCGTCCGGCCCGGGAGCCGCTCTCGGCGGCGAGCAAGAGCACCGAGCCCGAGTAAAAAAGGAGGAAGTCTCGAGCCGGAGCGTTGTTGTTGTTGGGGGGCCGGTTTTGGCGGAACCCCAAAACGCCTGAGCGTGAGCCTCAATTTCAGAGGAAATGCGGCCGGCGCCTCGGCGAGAGCGCCAGGGCGAATATAGGGGGTCCAACAATAATAATTGTTTAGTAATTAAGGTTCAACAACAACAACAACAACAACAACAACAACAACAACAACAACAACAACAACAACAACAACAATTACTAGCACGTGGGGACACTCCGTTCTCACCAGTGCCAGGGTTTTCATAGGAGGCGGGCAATACCCCCACTTTGTGGGGGGGCCGGTTCAAGCTCTACCAAATTTCCAAACGACTCTTCGCCACCACCCACACCCAGCTTCCCGCCCTATGACGTTCGGACACTTCACTTCGTGGCATGCGGACGACCGTGGCTACTATTCAGGGCCCCGCGGCCGACGACGACGGCGTGCGCGCGCGAAGAAAAAACGAATGTGTCCCGCATGGTATTATTTGACAGGGATGATGGCCCTGGCAGGTGCGCAACCGTTGTTGCAGAAGTTCGAAAAAGTTGCTCGCAAAAGCCCGTTTGACAGAAATGTTTAAAAAGTGTTGGGTTTCCTACGAATCCGCAAGAGCGCGCGGGATGAAATTTTGACATTTTTTTTGAAAAACCATTGGTTTTTTGATGTTTTTATGTTAAAATCGCTACGAAAACTAAGGTTTTGGAAGGATTTCGTCTTGCGCGCGCGAATGTCCACTTTACCTTTTTTTTTGGAAAGGGATTCTTGAAGTTTGGTTATGTTAGAACAAGAAATGTCCACTTTACCGATCGTAACAACACAACCGGATCCGGACCAACCCGTTTTGCCTGAGACTTCCTAACGAAAATGATGAAAATGAGGCTGCGGCCTAGGCGCGGCGGGGGGGCCATGCACCAGGGGTCCCAACAATAATTATTCTTTAGAAGTAATAATGTTCAACAACAACAACAACAACAACAGCAACCACAACATCCTCAACAACAACAGCAACAACATCAACAACATCAATAACCTCAAAAACACTAACAACTACAACCACATCATAATCAACAACTACACTCATGTTAAGACTGTTCGCCCTTATCTGCTCGAGTGTCGAATAGCACGAATTTCCCAAACCCTCGATACCCGCCCTTTTCGTTTTCGATCGAACCCTTTTTGGGGGGTATACCTTTCTTCCCTGCAGGCCGGGCCCCGGCAAACGGCGGGGCGGCCGCGGACGGTCGGCCTTGCCAGCGGCAGCGCTGATCGGCGGGGCGGCCGCGGACCGTCGACCCGACCCCAAGAGGGACGGACAGGGGACCGACCACGGCGACGACGACGTCGACGACGACGGCAACGACGGCGACGGCGACGACGACGACGAGCGAAAGCGAGAGCGAGAGAGAACGACAGCAGAACCACGAAGGACACGAAGTAGGCCACGAATGGCGACAGCGGGGCCACGAAGGGAATGCGTATGAGGCCACGAAGAGCGCGAACGAGCGTGGGCCACGAAGGGCAAATAATGCGGGGCCACAGAAGGCAACGATGGGGCCACTGAGGGCAGCAACGGGGCCACGTAGGACAATGAGGGGGCCACAAACGGCGACAGCGGGGCCACGAAGGGCATGCACATGGGGCCACAAAGGGCGCGCACCAACGTGGGCCACGAAGGGCATACGTATGTTGGGCCGCGGAGGGTACGGACGGGGCCACTGAGGGCAGCAACGGGGACACGAAGGGCAGCGAGGGGGCCACGAAGGGCGACAGCGGGGCCACGAAGGGCATGCATATAGGGCCACCACGGGCGCGAACGAGCGGGGGCCACGAAGGGCATACATATATGGGGCCACCAATCAAAGCAAGGGGGCCACGAAGGGCTGCAACGGGGCCACGAAGGACAGCGAGGGGGCCACGAAGGGCTGCAACGAGGCCACGAAGGACTGCCACGGGGCCACGAAGGGCTACAACGGGGGCCACGAAGGGCTGCAACGGGGCCACGAAACAAAGCGAGGGGGCCACGAAGGGCTGCAACGGTGCCGCGAAGGGTAACGAGGAGGCCACGAGGGGCTGCAACGGGGCCACGAATCAAAGCGAGGGGGCCACGAAGGGTTGCAACGGGGCCACGAAACAAAGCGAGGGGGCCACGAAGGGCTGCAACGGGGCCACGAAGGCCAGCGAAATCCCGATTCTTAGGTAATCTGTGAAGGAGTCCTAAGCGTGAGCGCGACTCCTGGGTGCCTGGGTGTCAGGAGCGCGGCGCTGGAGTAAATTGCAAGAAATTCCAACGCAATGGCGCTATTCTTTAGTAACTTGCAAGCAAGTCTCCAGCGAGAGCGCGACTCCAGAGCGCTGGAGGAGGGATTCCTGAATAAATCGTAAGGAAGTCCCAAGCGAGAGCGCGATGCTTGAATAAAATGCAAGGAAGTCTCGGGCGGGAGCGGGGGTCCTGGCTAAATTGTGAGGATGTCTGAGGCGGGAGCCGTTCTTGTTGTCGGGGGCCAACGTGCCAGTTTGAGCAGGAAGACTTCCATTGACAAAAAACAAGGTGCGAGCCCCGGGGGGGGGGCATTTCAATAGAAAAATATAAATGTGCACCGGTGGTGGGGGATCAAGAATAATTATTCTTCAAGAATGAGAGTTCAATTATAACAACAACAGCAGCAACAACAACAACAACCATTTTAAGGCTGTGCGCTCTTACTTGCCCGCGAGTCATTCAACACGTATACCCTACACCATCGATGCCCGCCCTCTTCGTCTTCGATCACACCCCTCTCGGGGGAATTATTTATCTTTGCTGGGGCCGGCGGGCTTAGACGCACGGGCAAACCGGAACGGGCGGACAATCCTTCGGGGGCGAACATCTCTCTGCCCGCCATTGGAATTGGCGCGGGCCCTGCAAGAGGAGGTGGGGAAGAACGAGGGAGAGTGGGAGGAAGGGGAGGGGGAAGGACGAAGGAAGAGGGAAGATACCACGTTGTTCAGGCGTCTTTGGCGCGCGCGTGGTTCCTGAGCGCCGAAACGCAATTCCATAATAATTTGTGAGGACGTCGCACGCGAGAGCTCACTCCTGAGTACATTGTGAGGAAATCTCAGGCGGAAGTGGGGGCCCTGACTAAGTTGCGAGGAAGTCTCAAGCGGGAGCGCCGTTCCTGAGCAAATTGCACGGAAGTCTCAGGCGGGAGCGGGGGTCCTCGCTAAATTGCGAGGAAGTCTCAAACGGGAGCGCCGTTCCTGAGTCGATTGCGCGGAAATGTCAGGCAGGAGCGGGGGTCCTGAGTAAAATTCGAAGAAGTCTCAGGCGGGAACGCCGTTCCCTCGTAAATTGCACGGAAGTCTCAGGCGGGAGCGGGGGTCTGGATTACATTGCTAGGAATTTTCAGACGGGAGCGCCTTTCCTGAGTAAATTGCGCGGAAATCTCAGGCGGGAGCGGGGGTCCTGAGTAAAAATCGAGGAAGTCTCAGGCGGGAGCCGTTGTTGTTGTAGCCCGGGGGGCAGGGGCACAGTTTGAGCAGGAAGACTTTCTTTGAGAAAAAACAAGGTGCGAGCCCCGGGGGTGGCACTTCAATCGAAAAAAATCAATGTGCACCGGTGGGGGGGGGTCAACAATAATTCTTCCTCAAGAGTGAGAGATCAACTACAAAAGCAGCAGCAACAACAACAACGCAACAAGCATACTCCTCACCACGGGTTCTCACTTCAGCCACGCACCCAGGGACAATGAATGACCGTTCGGCCCCCTCACTCTGATAATTGGGAGAGGGGGGGGGCGTCGTCGGATGCGTAAGCCCGCGCCCACCCTTAGGATTACATCAAGGCTGAGAACATGGTCGGTACCAAAAACGGGCCAGCCCTGTACTTCGGCACGCTGGACGTGAGCCCAGCCGCCGCCCATCGCCAGGAGAAGACAGAGGAGCAGAAGAGGCGGCATCGGGGATGGGGAACGGGACGATGGGGAATACAGGGGAGTGTCCTTGCTGTGCCACGTGCTGTGATTGGGGTTTCGTCGGGATCGCTGTGTGGATTTTGCATGGCGCGCTTCGGCCCGACAGCGCGCCGAAGAGAATGGAGAGGGGCAGAGCAGGAGGAGGAGGAACAGGCATGAGAATGGCCCCATGGTGATGTGGTATATATTTAGACAAGTCCGCTGATCCGTGGCATCGTTGTGGACCACGATCATGAGATACCACACGCAGATCACAAGGTAGCGCGGCGACCGCGAAAGGAATCCGCGCGCGCCACGAACGGTGAAGATGGAGAAGGGGGATGGAGAACACTTTGACGACGAGAAGGGCGGAGAGACGTTGGCGCAACCGACATCCTTCACTATTTGTCAGTATGCATGGCGTGCTCCTCTTTACCTGGATCCTGTCCGAGCTGGGGCCAATTTGTCCAGCAGATTTCTTTCAGCTCACGGGATGTCGTTTATTTCAGCGTCCTCGGTCTTTCTAAATGTGGTTCCCGCTGCAGGGTCGGCACCATGTGAGGATCGACGCTTTGCTCGCGTCGTCCAGAGAGACGCTCTCGCCCTCACGGTCCACATTCCAGATCTGAAGCCTGCTTCGTTGTTGCTCGCCCCTTCTGTCCATTCCTTCCGCTCATCCTACTCCTGCTCCTGCTGCTGCTACTCCCCATCCTCCTTCTCCTCCTCCTCCTCTTGCCGTTCCTCCCCCCTCCATGAACACAGCTCCCCTTCCTGATTGCGCATCAGAGGATGGGGTGACTTCGGGGATTCAGGTCCGCTTGGACATCCGTCGGATGCGCAGAAACACCGCAAACAGAAGGGATGGGTATAATGTCAGATACGAGGCGCGCGCTTACTTTGTCCCTCCCTCCTCTCCCCCGTTTCTGGGGGAGGTCACCGCTGTCGCCCCTGGGACCCGGGGGGGCCCCTTCCTTGTGGCTCTCCTTCGCTCGCCTCGTGACCATTCCTCGTGGCTCGCCCTTCCCCGTGGCCTTTCCTCGTGGCTCGCCCTTCCTCGTGGCTCGGCCTTCCTCGTGGCTCGCCATTCTTCGTGGTTCGCTCCGAGGGGGGTGGGGGCTCTTCCTCGCGGTTCGCCTTTCCTCGTGGTTCGCCAACGCTGGTCTCCCGCCAACCCCCAGCCCCCTGCGCCGGCTTGACGGCTGCCCGCAGGTATCTTGCTACACGCTGTTCCACGCGGTTTGGGGCCGCAGGGAGTGGCGGGTGTCGTGGGCCGCCGGACGGTGGCCCAAACGTATTTCGGAACGGAAATTCGAGATGGGGTGAGGAGAAGCAGGAGGAGGATAGAGGAGGAGAAGGAGGACGAGGAGTATGAAGTTGACGTTTTTCGTGCTTCTTGGGTCTCCTGTGGATACCTCATCGCCACGGTTAGATTCGCATCGGATTCCTGGTCAGAACGCTTCCCAGGAGAGAGGGTGAACAGTAGGAGGAGGAGGAGGAGGAGGAGGAGGAGGAGGAGGAGGAGGAGGAGGAGGGGTGATCCCTGTCAGAGAGCTAGCGGTCGATTGCCACTCTTGGCTTAGGGCAGCAGAGAAGTCAGCCATCTCGCAGGCCTGAGCCCAGAGCTTGGAGAAGTGCAACGGGCAGCGTGGCTCGGAGGCGTCCAGGAGGGAGGTGAGGACTAGGTGGGTTGGATCAGATACTATGGCCTGGGCAATGGCATCTCCCCAGTAACATGACCTTCTTTCCCTGTTTTTCAACGCGTTCCCTGGTTCCCCCCCCCCTCTTCCGAGCACATGCCTCGGGCTATGATGCGCTAGCCGCCCTCTTCCTGGCCCCCTCTTCGTGGCCCACTCGAGTGGCTCGAGTGGCTCTTCGTGGCCCCCTCTTCGTGGCCCACTTCGGCTCAGATTTTCTGTGCTGGTAATGTTGGGTGCCTGTGGCAGGCATGACCCTGCGCACGCAAGCGATGGCGAGGAGGAGCAGGCGGCTGCTTTTCAAGGATCGGCTCGAGTGACCCTGGCACGTGTTAAGGAGCGGGCAAGCGCTTGCACGCCTTTTGAAATATGTCGCGCGCCGATCCGGGAGTTTCTCGCGAGGCCTGCGCGACGCCCTGACTTCGCGCGAAATCTGCGACCGTTGCGCAACACCAACGGTGTGTAGCCACTGGCTCTCGGCAGGGGATGGCATACGAGGGATGAGGAGGCGGATCAGAAGCAGCAGCGAGGAGAGCAGGGACGTCGAATATGAGGAGCAGTAGCAGCGAGGACGAGGAGCATGCATCGCGTCACCATGGAAGTAAGTGTTGTTGCATGGTGCGTGCGCGCCGGCACCAATCGTGCACGGCACACCAGACCATTCTTACATAATCGCAGCCAGACAAGATTTGCACGCCAGCCAGCCGGGGACGTTCAGGCAGCAGGTGATTCAACACAACCTGGATGAAGCCAACAAATGTTCAGACAACAGTCACTCAAACCAAACATGATTACCACCTTGCAGCAGCCCCATAACCAACACATGACCAACAGATGTTCGACAATGACCGCGCAGAGTACGCCTGGCACCGCGCAAACTGCCGTTCCAGGCGCTTTGATACACAGTGGAAAGAAGTCGCGAGCCAACACGACGACGTTTGGGTCGCGCGAAATTGTGAAACTTCCGCGCGGCATGTTTCTCCGCGCGCCTGTAAGCGCTGGTTTTTGGTGAAGCCAACCGATGCACTAGATGCTCGAGGAAGGCTGAGTCGTGATAGTACTCAGATGCCTCATACACGATTCCACAAAAAGGTGTTCGAATATAGCCAAGACGTTGCGCACGTTCAGCCTCATCCTTGTTTTCCTTCTGCGTCAGGCCTACCAGGGTTTGACCGTACCCCATTCATCTTAAGCCATCGGCCGTATCCTCTGCCGTTGCCACTTTGGCTCAAGCCATCGGCCGCTGGGTGTTCTACGGGCGCGCTGCGAGCCGCGTGGGACGTCCAAAGACTCGCGTGGCGCTTGGGCAAGCCTTTTGCTTGGCGCCGCGCCTGCTGGAAGGGCAACTGCAGTGCGCGACGGGCTCTGTCTCAAGCCCGTGCTCCGGGCGCGTTCGGCCACGTCGGCGCGCGCCTTTGCGGCCGTTGCTGCATTTTCGCGCAACTCGGGGTGATTCCGTTCGGGTCTCAGGGATTCTGCGGCCTGTGCGCTGCCCGCGCGAAATGTATCCAAGGGTGCATCGGCGCCCTCTTTCTTTCCAGCACCTTAACACTGGCTCCTTCCCGTCGGGACGGCGCAGGCATATGAAGAGGGTATGCTGTTTCGGCCGACGCCAGTGCCAACGGATTAAGCGCCAACAAGAAACACGTGGCCCGCCTTCCGCAGTCCGTACAGTCATCATCCTCTGAATCTGGCGTTTCCGTCGCAATTTTGGCTCAAGCGTTTGGCTGAAGCCGTCGAGGTTGGCATGGGAGTCCCGGTGCAATCTTGCACCGCTTCGCCCGCATATTTGGCAACAGGTATGATATGTTGTTATTGTGTCTGCTCGTCATAGCGTGTGTTGGCTATGCGTTGTCATTCGTCCTGGCTCAATGTCAACATGTGAGCTGTATGCAGTTCAAGCAGACACGCATACGTTTGAGGCCGACGCAGATTCGATTGCTTGGTTAGCGCCCTGGCAAAGACGGACTTCAAAAAGAGGTACTTGGGTTTATTTGTTGTCACATGTTCACGGGTACCGACGGCGACGTGGCCAACGGTGTTCGAGTTTCACTTGCGGCGGTGGCCCTTCGGCCGCATACAAAAAGTAGGACAATGAGAGTTGTACGGGATCTCCGGCTTCCTCTGGATCGATTTTTTTGTTGACGGCAGTCATGTATACTTCTCTTGGGTCTCCGACGGCATGGTCTGATGCAGGAGCAATGTTTATTTCCCACGCACCCTCAGCACGTGCGAAATCCTTTCTCCAATCGCCATGATTGCTGCCGTCGTGGCGATCTGCGCCCAGAAGTCGGCCACGGGCCAGGTTTTTGCGCAGGAGTGCGAAAGTGCCAGCGTTGCACCAGGTAGCTCTGCGAGGCGGCATGTTACGAGAATTCCGCACGATATGGGCCAATGAACCTGTGAATCCGCTGGCAAGGTCAAGCGACCTCGCTGGGGTATTGTCATGTTTTCGCGGAGTTCACGCGCCCGTTCCTCGGAGTCCGGACTCAGGGGCAACGGCTTAGCCGATGGACCTAGCGTGGGCGGCTGCCGCCGCGCGCGGTAGCAGCGCAGCCCCGAAAGGCTGGCCGGCCAGCTCGGACGGCGCACGCGCCGGGGAACCCCGAGGCTGCATCACGACGCGGCCCGCCGGAACGAGAGCCCGGCGCACGCGTGGCCGCGGTCCCTTCTGGCGCTCGGCCCTCGCGCGGCGCGGCGGGTAACGGCGGCCGTCTGCACGTCGCATCCGCCGCGCCGGCAGGCGCGCATGCTGCGCCCTGAGGTTCGACTGCGCGCGTGCTCCGTCCTTGCCCAGCCTGCTCCGGCCCACCCCGAAGAACTTTCCGCTCTGGAATCCTCTGGAATCCTCCTTCCACTCGTGCCGAGATTAGCTTCGCCTGTGCCTCAGTGTAGCCCGCCCGCATGTCGGATCCGAGACGCCGCCGACCACAAAAGGATTCCGGCTTCCCGGCAGGCCACGGACGGGCGCCTGGCTCGCCCCGGCCAGATGCGGCGCCTCCGTGCGGACGCCGCGGGGCAGCGGGTGCTCGCACGGCGAAGGCCCGGGCCTGCAGCTTGGCCGTTCCCAGCTCGCGTGGCCCCCAGCCTGGAGCTCGACGTCGTTGGGGGCCATCGGCAGCGAAATCTGAATTTTGCCCTCACCCCTCACCTATCAACGGGTCATTCAGCTCGAGGGGCGCAGGGTGGGGAATAGATTTGGAATTTGTCGAACACGTGGCGAGGTCCGGGTATTATGCCCGCCTCCCGTGGATTCATGAGAACCGATTGTCGTTGGAGGTAGGGCTCGGACGTCGCCACCCAGAAGTGGGTCTTGACCCAGGCTTCACTGGCTGAGTTGGACGCTGGATGCTGCATCATCGAGTTGTCCACCCGTCAGTGGCTACGACGAGTGCACCTCAACGCCCAAATAGTGGTTAGATTCGCATGGCACGGTGCATGTACAAACAACGTTTCTGATCGCGCAGATCCCTGCATAGGCAACGCTTGTCAACGTCACATTATCCTTGCCCCATCCTGAGGTGCACCAAGACCAGGAGCTCATATAGTTGTTATGGTCACTGTGAACCTGTCCACCCAGTGCACCCCCTGAAACCTCTTCCTCCTCCTCCTCCTCGTCCTCCTCCTCCCCCTTGCATGCCCTTTCCCGCCGCCTCCCCACCTACATCCTCCTTAGCCCAGTCGCCACCCCATCTCAGACGACATCTCTTTCATGTCTTTCTTTTCTCGGTAGCTAGATACCTCTCACTTCGCCAGTCCATGCAGTAGCTGGATGCATACGTGGCCGCGTGTCTTCCCATCGCTTGAGTACCGTGCTGCTCGGTGCACCGTCCCTCCGCACCTGTCTCCAGCGGCCAGGCCTCTCATTGCAGCCTCCTGGTAAGCATGGAGCGTGTCCGAAAGGCAGGGATGGGAGATGCTGAACGGAATCAGCTGGCACTTGATCGCGGACGAGCTCTTCAAGGCCCAGCCGCGCCGTCCTCACTGCTGTCACCTTCGGAGGAGGGAGGAGGAAGGGAAGGATGAGGAGCACGACGAGTGGAGGATGGTAGACGAGGGGAAGATGTGTTTTGTTTTTGTTGTTTTTGTCTGAGCCTCCGCGGGGAGACCTCAACGCAGCGGCTGGTTTGGCCATACAATGTTGCTGCGCGCAAGGAGCCTCCTCCTCCTCCTCCTCCTCCTCCTCCTCCTCCTCCTCCTCCTCCTCCTCCTCCTCCTCCTCCTCCTCCTCTTCCTCCTCCTCCTTCTGGACGCTGGACGCTGGGCGCTGGTGGCAAGTGTGTCATCTGGACGCTGGCCTTCGCCCCCCGCCCGCTTGCATCGCCCTTCAAAGGAGCGAGGAGGCCTGTGGGAAAACGGGGGATCCCCGGAGGGAGAACGAGAGCGGGCGACCCCTGAAGGAGCGGCGGGAGGAGCAGCGAGAAAGGAGGAGAGGAGACGCCAGGGGGCGCAGCGCAGCACCACGGGGAGAGGAGGAGGGTAAGAGGGCAAACGGGGCCCCGGCACCACCCCAGATGGGGCGCCGCAAGGGTAACTTCCAGGGAGGACGGTGGGGGGGCCTGGGAGGGGGGGGGGGGCGCAACGCCAAGGGAGGCGCAGGGGGCCGTTCCTGGGACGACGTTGACGACGACGACGACGACGACGACGACGACGACGACGACGACGACGACGTCGACGACGACGACGACGACGACTGCGACGGAGACGACGACGGCGACGAGGGGCGGCGCCGAAGCCGACGCCAACGGCAGCGGGGACGGGGGCGAGAAGGCGGGACGTAGGGCGAGGGAGAAGAGGGAACGGAGGAAACAGAGAAGGGGAAAGGGGTGCGGAGGAGGACACGGGGGCGGCCCCGGACCCCACCCTGGCGCAGAGCCCCAGCGTGTGTGCGTGTGTCCGTATCCCACCCGCCCACCCTCGCGCCCCTCCTCCAGGCGGCACGCTACGGGCGGCGGGGGGCGCTGCCCGCCCGCGCTGCCCCGTGCCACGAGGCGGCCATCCCACCAGAGTGGTCGTTGATGCTCGTCTCGGTGGTCCGGGTGATGGCGCGCAGCTCGCTGCAGGTAAAGGTGAAGACCGCGTGGTCGTAATTCCTCTCGGCCTGGGCGGACTCCCAGATCGGTGCGCAGGCAAAATATCTAGAGGTGGTATGCGTCCCCGGTTGTGTATCCATAGTTATACTGGGCCTTGGGGTCGCGCCTGTGGGCATGGTAGTCCTGCTCCTAGGTCTCCTTGGACGTCTTTTCAGCGCGCCCGAGCCGCGCGACCTCTGCGAGAGCCTCGTTGTAGAGCCTCTCGAGGTTGGCCAGGTCTGGCTTCTGCCCCGTGGCCATCGCCCAGAGGATCTGCAGAGGATCTGCAGAGCTGCGACTGGAACCCGCAGAGCGACCCTAGATGGTTCGCTCTGCGGGTTCCAGTCGCAGCTCTGCTGGTCCTCCAGGTTTCCGGACTGGCTGCCTGAGCTAATCTGCCGGTCGTAGCTCTGTCGGCGCTCTGAGAGGCAGCGATCGTTCTTCAGGCAGTCCGCCTCCTCCTCCTCCTCCTCCTCCTCCTCCTCTTTCCCCTCTTCCTCCTCATCCTCCTCCTCACCTTCCTCCTTCCTCCACCTCATCCTCCTCCTTCCTCAGTAGGTTCTCGCCTTCCAGGGTGCCTCGTCGCCATGGCTGGGGGCGCAGCTCGAACAGCCGGCTAGGATGAGGATTCCGATTATGGGCGCATTGTGCCCAGACCTTGGACGCTCTGGAACACACGTCAGTACAGCCAGCAGGAGGAGGACAGGGGGGAGATACAGGAGCAGGAGGAAGCAGAGAGTCAAGATTTCTGGCAGTTCAGAACCCTCTTTCTGTCCGGCAAAGGAGGATCGAGTTTTCTGGGCACCTCTAGTAGGTTTTATTGGTCCTGCATGGCTCCCTGGAGACCCTAGGAGACCCTCCTGGTGACCTCCAGGTTTGGTTTTCCAGGCTCAGTTCCTGGTATGGGTGAAGGCACCTATGATGAAACAGATTTCAGAGTGAGTTATCGAGCGGCCTGGTATTGCCTTTGGGTGCGTGGCCGGAGTGATGTTCCGCGGTGCGCATCGTCGTTGCATTTCCACTCCCGAAGAAACAGTTGAGTCATTGATGCTCCCATCACTGGTGCCCAGTTGTTCACTTGAAGTGTTCCCTTCGGATTCCGCACAGGGTGATCTGCCAAGAGAAATCGTCTTGTCAAAGTGTGTTCCTGGGCCCTCAGACAACAGTAACGACGATACACGATTGAGACTTCTCAGCATGTTAGTCAGGAATCTCCCTCTCGCTTGAGAACTCCGTGCGACGTTTTCCAATCATCGCTATGCCGCCTGGAATTTCAGTGTTATGTACTCCGTTTTCGCGCCTTCGCCTTCTGGGAATCGTGCAGAATGGCTTTCGATGCGTTCATGAATCGCGCTCTCGCTTCGGCCATTGTTGCAAGTTTCTCGAGGATTGTACTCTCGCATGGGACGTGCTAATCATGGACTTAGGCATCGCGCTCTCGCACCGCCCGTCAGGGTCCGCCCGCCCGTCCACCCGATCTGCTATTCAGGGTCCGCCCGCCCGACCCGCCCGTCATTTTCCGCCCGCCTTATACCATCTGGTAGGGTGCCCCCTTTCGCTTGACTGGAATCCCGCATGCCCCTTTTCATGGTCCGCGCGCCCGCCTCTCCTCACCGCTAGGGTCCTTGAATGTCCCGCCCGACCCGCTCGTGTCCAACCGTCCGACCCGCTTGTATTAGCCTGTCGGGTTTGACCCAGGAGTTGACCAAACCAGGGTGCGTCGATAGACGAAGACGGCGTGCCGACTGTTCGAGGTATACATGTTGAGTGGCGCTTTGGCAATAACGAGCGAGCAGTCTGAGGCTAATTGAAATTGTTGTTGATTTGGTTGGCTTTGTATGCCAGCTAATTCAGTTGATCCAGTTCACGGGTGCCCAGTGAGTTGTTCAACGGAAGTGCCCTCATCTCGGCTATCTTGGGGCCATCTTGGTTGGCGTTGAGGCGTATTGGAGCCATCTTAGAGGCCATATGGGGCATCTCGGAGGCATGTTCGGCGGACTCATCTTTGCTTCCTACCTCGCCCGTGTGGCTAACGGATCAGAGAGGAGGCCGTTGGGAATTGGCCCAAAAAGGATCGAACAGTAGAAATATTTGCACGCCAATGCCCCCTTTGATAAGCGCAGGGGGCGGCGGATCGAAGACGCATGCTGTAGATCACCACCGCTCCCTGCCATTTGGAAAACACTGCGGCCAAACAATGTGTCGAAGTCTTGCCAAGCTATTTGACTACATGTTCCCCCCAGCCGTTGTGGAAGCCCTTGGGGGAAACGCTTGGGAGAGAGGGAAGGAAATGAGGGTGAGAGGGAGGAGAAGGAGGAGGAGGAGGAGGTGGAGGAGGAGCAGGAGGAGGAGGAGGAGGGAGAAGAGGAGGACCCTGAAGGCCCTCTTGGGGCCTGCAGGAGGCTTCCTGTGAGCTGTTGGGGGGGCTCTGAGGGGCCTCTTGGGGGCTTCTTGGGGGCCTCCTGGGGCCCCTTGGAGCCCTCTTGGGGGCCTCTGGGGGGCTCTAGGGGGTAGATTGGTATTAGGAGGCCGTCTTGGGGCTTTCTCTGAGCAGTAGCGGGTCCTTTGTCTTGGATGTCAATGGGGCCGTTTGGGGGCCATCTCGGGGATCTTGCGGCCCTCTTCGACCGTCTTACGGGCCTCTTGGACCGTCTATTGGCGATCTTGGGGGCCTACGGGGTCTTGGAGCGTCGGAAGCTTGAAATGGCGAGAACGCCAAAATTGATGAAAAACAGATGGGTAATCAATGATTGGGCCTCCCAGGAATCCTCGTGGAGCCCTCTTGGGGTGTCTTGGGGGCATGTTGGGCTGCCTTGAGGACATGTGTGGCTGCTGTCGGGCTATCATAAGCCGTCTTGGAGGCATCTTGGGACCATCTGGGGCTCCCCTGGGGCAGCCGTTTCGACAGCCATCTCGGCAGTTTTGGAGGCCATCTTGGGGTCGGCGGGAGCGGGAGAACCGATGCACCGAGCGATTTGCGCACCTCTCTGGGTGGCTGGCGCGATCGGCCGAGACCGCACTGGTGACCTTGTCAAGAAGGACTGAATAGTCACAAGTTCGGCTCTCAGGGAGCGGCCGATCTAGTGGCCTTCGGCCCATCCCGCCATTTTGCCTCGGTTGTGGGGCATGGGCCTCCTGGATGTTAGTTGGGCCCTCTTGGGAAGATCCTCGATCCTTCCCATTCTTCATGTTCCTCCTCTATCCTCCTCGGCACTTCCTTCCTTCTCCTCGATCCCCCTCCCCCTCTTCCTGCTTCCCTCCTCCTCCTCCTCGGTCCTCCTCCTGCTTCCTTCATCTTCCTTCTCCTGCTTCCCTCCTCCTCGATCCTCCAACACTCCCTTCCTCCTCGATCCCCCTCCTCCTTCCCCTCCTCCCTCTTCTGCCGTCATCGCACCTCCCCCCCGGCAGGCCGACCTCCGCTTCCTGGCGCTGCTCTACATACTGTACATGTCCTTCACGATGCTGGCCGTCTTGAACATCATCACTGGCCCCGCGGGGGTTAGGGACTCCCGATGTGGAGAGCACAAGTGGGGCCGGGAAAGAGTGCGGTGAAGGGCGCTGAGCGTAGGCGGAGGAGACGGAGCAGGATGAGAAGGACGACGTTGGCGTGGTGTGGCGGAGGAGGAGGAGGAGGAGGATGAGGAGGAGGAGGACGATGACGAGGCGGCGGTGCGGAGGAGGAGGAGGAGGAGGAGGAGGAGGAGGAGAAGGAGGAGGAGGAGGAACAAAACTGATACTAAGGTGGATGAGGATACTGAGGAGGAACAAAAATGATACTAAGTGCGCGCGGAAGGAGTAAGAGATAATGATCGAGGTTTTTGGACGCGAATGTGTTCCCAACTGAACTCGGGCAAGCTTGCTCGCATGATGGCCTCCTCAGGCCTCGAAGATGCTTCTGGTGGGACCCGTGGACGTATCCTTATGACCTCTCGCTCCTTACCTTCCTTTTCTCAGCGTGATGACAGCCTTCCCATCTTCTGACCTCCACACCTCTAGTGTCAGGAAGGGACGTGAGAGGGAGGTCATAACGTGTTCCGCGGGGTTTAGGGACTTCCGATGTGGAGAGCACAAGTGGGGTCGGGAAGGAGTGCGGTGAAGGGCGCTGAGCGTAGGCGGAGGAGAAGGAGCAGGATGAGAAGGACGATGACGCTGGCCTGGTGCGGAGGAGGAGGAGGAGGAGGAGGAGGAGGAGGAGGAGGAGGAGGGGGAGGACGATGACGAGGCGGCGGTGCGGAGGAGGAGGAGGAAGAGGAGGAGGAGGAGGAGGAGGAGAAGGAACTACAATAATGATAATGAGTTGGATGAGGATACGAGTGCGCGCGGAAGGAGTAGGAGATGATGATCGAGGTTTTTGGACGCGAGTGTGTTCCCAACTGTTTTTTCAATTAGGGATACCCGCGTCCCTTTTAGCCCTTGACCGGAAGGGGCCCGCTCCCGACCCGCAGACCCCAAAAAAGTTCCCAACTGAACTCGGGCAAGCTTGCTAGCACGATGGCCTCCTCAGGCCTCGAAGATGCTTCTGCCCCGAAGTCACATGTCTCGATGACCCCGATGCAAGTGTTTGTTTTGGCGGCGGGACTGCATCCAGCATGATGTTTCGGAGGCATTGAGAGTTGGGTGGGGCATCTCGGTTCTAGACTATGATGGTGAGCATCTCGTTTCTGAGTCTGACCCTATGTGGGCCGAGTCACCCCAAACGTCTCAGGCAGGTGATGGTGGGTCTCTGTCTGCCAATATTAATCTGCTCCTGGAGCCATCTGTGGCCTGCAGTGATTGCCCGAATGTGGTCAAGGCCTCGCCCTTTTGCCATTCTTGGGGACTTCCCATCGGAGACCTTACTCCGTATATTTCCTAGCATGAGGAGTGCGAGGAACACCCTTTTGTTCTGACGTTTCGAAAGTGAATGTCCAACAGAGCGAGGCCGCTGAATTAATTGAGTTCGAGCTGTTTTGCCCAGTTGACAACGACGCCGTGGACGCAGCGGCCACGCGTGGAGCCTCCGCTCGCCCCCGCTGAGCTGCAGGCTGCCAGCGGGCGGGCGGTAATTGCCACGTGAGTGCGCAAGCTTGCTTACTGTCTGATGTCTTTTCTTGTCACGGTTCGACATTACTTGCATTGCTCGTGATCTCGAGGCCTTCCGGAAACCCCGTCTCGTCGCCACCTCAGTCCTGGATGTGGCGTGGGTCGTTCTGGAGGTGCCAACGCTGCCTCCGCTTCAGGAGACAAAAGATTATGCCGAGCTTCTCAAGGTTCCCTGGTCAGCCCCCGCCTGTCGCTAACCTCACAGGAACGTGGGCACAGGGCCGTGGTTCCCCTTTGCTTTAACGCGACCAGAAGCAATGCGTGCATCATTTTTTGATGGCTCCTCCTCGGGTAAACAATGTCTGAGGATCCCTGGCGTCTGTCCAAGTCCGCTGCGTCTGTGGTCAGGTCCCTCAGGCCCCTCAGGTCCAAGATCCCTGGTCATGCGAGCTATTCGGTTTCGAGGTTGCTATATCGGAAGTCGCCCTCCAGAAAGTCGCCCCCCCCCCCTTAGGCTCGTAACCTCAGGGGAGGGCCGAAGCGGCCACGAACTAGATTTAGTCTCCGACTAGTCATCAGAGCTTCTACCTGTGGTCGCCCGCAGGCACTAGCGCTAGTCTGTAACATTATTATGATCCTCTCTCTCCTCCTGATCCTCCTCGTCCTCCTCCTCCTCCTCCTCCTCATCCCCCTCGTCTCCCGTCCCTCCTCCTCCTCCTCCTCCTCCTCCTCTTCCTACCCTCCCTTCGGGTTGTCGGTTTGTGTTCACCCTCTTGAGTTTTTTCTTGGGGCCGTCATGGGGCCATCTTGGGTATTCTTGGGCACCTCTGAGGCCGTTTGGGGGCCCAGTTGGGGGCCTCTTGAGCAGTCTTGGAGCAGTCCTGGTGGCCTTGTGAGTCGTCTTGGGACGTCGGAAACTCAAACGGGCGAGAATCCGAAAATCATTGGTTGGGACAATCTATGGTTTCTGCCGATCGAGGCCCTCTTGGGGCGGCTCTTTGGGCTCTTTTGGAACGCCTCGACGGCCTCGTGGGCCGCCTTGGATTTATCTTGCGCCGTTTTGAGGCCAAAGTGGCTCGGCTTGGAGCGACATTGGGCCGTCTTGGAGGCATCTGGGCCTCGGTGGCGCGATTCTGTAGTATTCTACCAGGGGCCTGCGGCCTCGGCAAGAGGGGGCGGTGCATGCGGCTGGGCGCGGCCCGAGGGGGGGGCCTCATAAAATAAACCCCATCAGGCAGCACCTGACATTCCAGCACGCCCCGAGGTGCCAGGGGGCACGGTGGCGGATGTCAAGAGACTACCCGCACCTTGGTGACGTCCAGGAGGTGCGAGGACTAGGGGGAGTGGACATCATGGCCTGGGCCAGTACATCTTCCCGATGTTACGCCCTCCTTTTTTCAATCAGCGCGGTCCTTGCCACCGCCCCCCCCTGTTCGTACACGCACAAGCCTCCGGCCACGATGCGCCACGTAACCCCCCTTTTCCTAGTCATCTCTTCGGCGCTCCCGAGCAATGAAAAAGTTGTCCCATGCATGGCGTGACACAGAACACGGCGTGGGAGGGCTGGCCAGGGATCGATCTAGTCCGATTCAAGCGATCTGGCTGGTGCTGGGCTTTTGTGAGTCAGCCCAGGGGTACAACTGAATCTGTCAACGGGTTTGCGGAGCACTGTCAGACCGTTCTGAAGCGCTCTAGAAATGCCGCGGCGCTACTTTTTTCGCCAAGCCGTCCAGCTCGCAGATACCCCCGAGTCATCCACGCGTGCTGGATGTGTTCGTCTCCCGTTAGCCGAACCGAACGCAACAAGATCGGACACAGTCCTCGCAGGGGAATTCCTCTGCAAGTGCCGCTTCCACCGAGCAAAGGGCGATCCGCCAGGCGTTTTCGTTGACAACGCCGTGGAGACGGCGAAAACGCAGCGCGAGTTCCTTGTTCAGAAG